TAGCCTTTAGAGTTTTATTTTGTAAATAACAATTTTTTGTATTATTTGAGAATTAAACAATTTCTTTATTACATTTACTCCTTTCCTTTATGCGTATTCCTGAAACTTTTCAAATTTTATTTTTTTTCCAAAAACCTCTGCCTTTCTCTAATTTTTAATACTTCTAATATTCAGTAAAAACTTAAGCTTTTTTAAATGTTTCCTAAAAATCCTGATGCGAATTTCATTTTTTTACTAAAAAATTGCATTTTTATAAAGTATCAGGAATATTATGATTTCTGTTGAGATTCTATGATATAAGATGATAATATCCAAAGATTAAATTTCAAAATTATTTTTTTTTGTATAAAAATGGCCCTTAATTGGGTGGGAAATTCTAATTTCTATTCCATATTTTTAATCTTTATTTTTGCTGATATTGATAACATACCTAGAATACTTGTAAATAAATAGATAATACATGAGTCACTGTCACTGGTGTTGCAATTTTAAATTTAAATTCTTACCCTGGGTCTTTTCCAAACTATTTTTTTCGGAAACTTGGCCAAAGCAATTCTTTCAGCCGGAAAATTTTCATCCTCAAAACATGTCTTATTTCTCAAATGCTGTTTTAGTAATATTTCATAGTTTTGTAGCGGTTTTGAGGGTTCTGAATTTGGACCGAATTCTCCAAACTAGAAAGAAATGAGAGTAAAAGTAGAATAAATAAAATATATTTACCATAAAGATTTTTCCAAAAGAGTCATAGTTTTGAACTCTATCTGTTTCGTTTTTTTCTATTTCATTTTCATTTTGGCGTTTGTAGTTTGGGCGTTCGTAAAAAGTGCTACGTCTAGGTCTCAAATATGCCATTTTAGAGGAAAAATCACTACTGGGACATGATTGCAACTCTGATTTAGATAGAAGCAAAAATTTGGGGCTGATAAGATAATAATAAATCGATAAACTATGTTTATGAGTAATCCAAAAAGATAACAAAAAACATAGCTTTAGTTTTAAAATAACGAAGTTGATAAAAAATCGATTTGTTTGAGGATTTTTTTGAAAAATTACTCATAACAAAAAGATATTTTATGCTTTACTTTTGGTTCAGCCTGTATAGTATTAGTTTTCTTATGTATTAAAAACTTGTTTAAAGCTATTATTTTTATTAATTATTAATAATATAAATCAATTTATTGTTTTATAACAAAGCTACAACAAGAAAAAATTCGGACATTGTTAATTTTATTTAATTTCTAAATGCAGTTGAATTTACAGGGAGCGGCAAAATTATGGAATAATCTTATCACAACTGATAATATTTTGTTTTGGCAAAAATACTCAAAAATACCCAATTTGTTCTTTTGAAATTTTTTTAAAATAGAAATCCTTAATTTTTTTAGCCAATTCGATAGATCTTTTAATTGTCGAAATAACAACACCAAAGTATTAAATATTACATAAAGTTTTCGAAAAAAATTCACCAAAAATGTGAAATATTATTATTATATTTATATTATTATTTTATTATTATATTCGAAAATTTTTGTTAAAATAAAATATTTTGAGTTTTAATAAATACAATTATTCCATAATTTCGCCGCTCACTAGGGCCGTACCCTGGTTTTTGTATTCACTTACCAGAATTTCTTGTACAAAATAAAGAATATAAATAGTAAATAAAAACTATTTTATTTCACCAGACGATAAAAGACTGCTTTATCTACTGAAATTAGTTGATAAAAGCACTCTTTAACATTGACTTCAAAATAAATTTATTTCTTGTTATTTTAGCGTGTTAATTTTTAATTTTTGTGAATTAAGTTTTCATGTGTTAATTATACAGGGTGTTCCATTTGTATTGTTAAATACAAATTTAAATAGATGATAGAATATTCAATTTTAAGACAAAAGTTTCCTATAAACATGTTTCGAAAAAGGGAGCTACAACCTCTAAAAAGGGTGCATTTTTTAAAGGGTTTTTCCTAATATTTTAGAAAAGATAAAAAACAAATTTTTTTTATACACCTAAACGAATTTCAAGATGAAATGTCGAAATTTTTAATCAGGGGCGTCCAAAACGGTACAACGAATTTAATTTTTATGCTCCTTATGGTCTGTAACATAAATTTTTAAACTAATTTTACTGAAAATCGGTTGTATCGGAAAAACGCAAAAGGCTTTTTTATGAAAAACTATGAAATTTAGACTTTGGTTGCTGAAAGTGGCACGAAACCACAAGCAAAATAGAGTACTTTTTACCCTAAACCCACCCAGTTTAGGAAGCCCCTAATTAAAAATTTCAACATTTTATCTTTAAACTCGTTCAGGTGTATAAAGGTTATCATTTGTACTAAATTTTGTTTTTTTTTTCTAAAATTGTTTCGGAAATGTTGTCTTAAAATTGAATATTCAATCTCCTGTTTAAATTTGTAACAATAAAAACAGAACAGCCTGTATAGTTTTATATGATATGTATTAAAAATTTATTATATTTTCATTATTTTTGTGAGTTGATTTGTATTGTTTTTTGTTTAATTAGGACCTTTTTTTCAAATTAAAATAAAGATTGTACTTAAAGATGAGCAATGCTTTTTTGCCCCGAAATAAAATCCTAGTTACGGTCCTGCTCAATGTATTTATACTCGTAAATATGTATTATGCTAAACACTAATGAATCAATTGTTAAATGTGCTAGGTAATAAATAAATAATTAAATAAAAAGTAACAATACATGTAAAAATAAAAAAACACTGAAACTGTCGAGTTTCAATGTCAGAAAAGTCAGACGATTGATCGAAAAACAAGTTTTCTCATGCATAATGATTAAAATTCAGTGACTTATTTTTAAGAAATTTTAAACTTCTCTCAGTTTACACAATGAAACTGGTATTTTTAGTGTTCATTTTAGTTGCAGTAAGTGGAGGAACGAAATTGCGTAAGTTTTGTTTGTACAAATTGAATTTCTTTTAATTAACTAATTAATTAAGCATCAAATTTCAAGAAATGTAACCGAAGTCAACCCGATTTGGCACAATGTGTTCTTGAAGCTGCCCGTCGTGGATTGGCTCAATTGACAAAACCGTACAAAAAAATTCGACTTCCGAGTTTGGAACCACTGGAAGTGGTTGAGTTTTCGGCACATGTTGAGACACGCTTGCTGAATTTTAGCGAAAAGTTGCGAAATTGTAAATTTTGGGGCTTACTCGGGGAGTTTTGGAAAGTTTTGAGTGAGTTGCTACTCCTAATCTTAGCTAATTATTTTTTTAAGATTCAATTTAAGCGAGAAATTTATCAAATCACAGTTATTTCTCCCCGAAGTGAGAACAAAATGTTTGTATAAAATAGATGGGACAATTATGTTTGTTTCGATTAAGGGAGAAGGAAACAGTGCGCTGATTTTCAGTAAGTGTTTTTTAATTTTTTTTTTGTTTTTATTTTTTTTTTCAGGAAATTATAATGTGAGTTTTTACATCCCATACAATGAAATTATAAAACAAAATAAGACTTTTGTTCACATTACGACTGGTGAAATTGATGGAAAACCTGAATCGATTCATTTTCAACTAGAAAATCTTTTTAATGGTGATGAAGAAGCTGGAAAACGTTTTAATCAACTGTTGGATGATAATTGGAGTGAACTTTATGATGATATTAAAGATGATTATTTGAAGATGGGGAAGCAAATGTTGGTGCAATTGTTGAATAATTTTTTTTCCAAGTTGTCACTAGAGGAGGCTTTTGATTAATAAAATTTATTAATTTATTAATAAAAATTTATTCAAATTTACTTGCTTTTGTTTTGAAAACGATGAGATGGATACTAGTTTTTTAATAAAAACATCTACCTGCCGCTTGTTATGATTCCACAAGGTGAGGTTAAATCGTCTGACCTTACATGAATAAAAAAATATTGATTTGTGATACATATTTTTTTAAGTCCAGTGAATCTATTAGTTTTTTTTATAAAATAATTTTTGAGCACTACACAAAACGTAATTTTATTTATCTTCTATTTAATTTTATTATTCCGAGTGTTTTAGTAATGTATTTTAACTTTAATTTTTACAAGTTACTCTATATAAGTTTAATTTGTGTTATTAATTTTAGTGTTTTAAATCAAAATTAATAAAAACTTGTTTTTTACGTTTTTAAAATTATGCAAAATAATTATTACACGTTGGTAAATGATGAAATTATTCACTATAAACACATGAAAGCAACTTGTCATCAAGCTAGTTTTTTAATTAGTTTCAAAGTTTCAGCATCTAGTATTTTTAAAAGCAAAAAAGTAAACCCAGCTCATTAATTTTTAATATACCAACTTTTTTCACGTTTATTATTTATTAATTTACTGGTTTAACCACAGAAAAAATATATTGTCTCAGAAAAATAAATATAAAATACAAAAATCTGGTGTTTTATTTAATAACAGATCCCGAAAGTTAAAAAAAAATCACTGAAGTTTCTATTACAACAGACCTTTATGTGGTCCTTAAACCAGTCTTCAATATTACAGAGTTCTTAAAATTAATATTTTTTATAATTTTTATTATCGCTTTTATTTTCATAAACTTGTTTGTTTGTTTTTATTTTTTTATTGCTCTGGCGAGTTTATATAAATAGAGGGACTGGCCAAGAACTTGTTTTATTTCCAATCAGCCATGAGACAAATCCTACTTCCATTTTTGTTATCATCAGTGATAACATTGTGCCAAAGCGCCAAATTACGTGAGTGCTTTTTTGTTTAAACTTTTATCAAAATTTTTAATTCTAGCCACAAATTTCCAAAAATGTAACCGGAAACAACCCGATTTAAAACAATGTGTGCTCAAAGCGGCCCAAGACGGGATTTTTCAATTAACTCGCCCTTATAATGAAGTGAATATTCCAAATTTGAACCCTTTTGAATTAAAAGAAGCCACTATTGGGGGTGGAGGCGCCGTGGCAGTAGAACAGAAATTTAAAGATTGTAAATTAACTGGCTTTAATAAGATGAAATTAGATAAATTCGAGTAAGTACAGAAAATTTTTAGTTTTCTTCTACTTTTAGCTTCTTCAGTGTTTTGATTTTTGTGTTCTTGGATTATTAGATTTTCCCTTTTTTATCCGATTTTAAAATTCTTGAAGTTTTTAATTTCTTAGCTTTTCAGACCTATTTTTTTTAATCTTGCAATATTTTAGAAAAAAAATTGTTTTTTTTTTAATTTTTATAATTATCATTTCTTATTTTGTTTGTTTTTTATAAAATTAGATTTTGGAGGTTTTCAGAATCTCAGTTCTTCAAGTCCTTAGCTTTTCCACCTTCAGATACTT